AGATAGATAGATAGATAGATAGATAGATAGATAGATAGATAGATAGAGGGCACAGGGTGAGTTGAAGATGAATGGGTGATATCTGGAGAATAAAATTAAGGGGTGAGAGAGGATTATACTGGGAGAAAGAGAAAGGGAGAGGTAGAATGGGGTAAATTATCTCACATAAAACAGACAAGAAAAGGCTTTTACAGTGGAGAGGAAGTGGGGAGAGGTGAGAGGGAATGAATGAATCTTATTCTCATTGGATTTGGCTTGAGGAAGGAGTAACATACACACTCAATTGGGTACGGAAAGCTATCTTACCCTACAGGAAAATAGGGGGGAAGGGGATAAGAGAGGGGCAAATGATTGGGGGTGGACAGATTTAGGGAAGGAGTAATCAGCAGCAAACACTTCTGAGGAGGGACAGGGTCAAAAGAGAGAATAGAATAAAAGGGGGGTGGGATAGGATGAAGGGAAATATAGTTAGTTTTCCACAGCAAGACTACTATGGAAGTGTTTGGCATGACTACGCAAGTATAACCTGTATCGAGTTGCTTGCCTTCTCAATAAGGGTGGGTGGGGAAGGAGGAAGGGAGAAAATTTGGAACCCAAAATTTTGAAAACAAATGTTAAAAAATTGTTTTCACACACAACTAGGAAATAAGATATATAGGAAATGGGGTATAGAAATCTATCTTGCCCTACAGGAAAATAGAAGAAGAAGGGGATAAAAGAAGGGGGGGAGATAGAAGGGAGGGCAGATTAGGGGAAAGGGTATCCAGAATGCACGCTGTCTTGGGATTGGGAGAGGGTCGAGATAGGGAGAAAATCTGGAACTCAAAATCTTATGGAAGTGAATGTTGAAAACTAAAAATAAATAAATTAATGAATTTTAAAGTGCCAAAAAATTGAATGCTGAATTTTTCAGGAGACATATAAAATTTAAATTCAAATGAAAAAAATTATACTTTAACATTCATTTTTTAAAATGTTGAGCTTCCAATTATCTTCCTCCCTGCAGCTCCTTCCCCACCCGTTGCCAAGGCAAGAAATGTATCAATTACATGTGTGAAGTCATATAAAACATTTTCATATTAGCCATGTTGAAAAAAAGCAAGAAAAATAAAGTAAGTGAAAAAAATATGATTCAATCTGCACTCAGAGTTTTGGTTCTTCCTCTGGATGTAAATAGCATTTTTCTTCATGATTTTTTTGGAATTGTCTTGGATCATTATGCTGATTAAAGTAGCTAAGTCTCTCACACTCGTTTGAACCTCACAATCACTCTGTGAGGTAGGTGCTATTATAATCTCCATTTTATAGATGGGTAAACTGAGACAGGGAGGTATTGCCCAAGGTCACATAGCGAATAAATGTCTCAGGAAGGATTCATACTTAGGTCTTCCTGACTCCAAGTCCCATCTCTATTCACTGTGCATCTAGCTACCTCTTCTTAAACCCAGGTGTCCTGGAGAGCTGTGTTTTGGGGTCTTATGCTGGAATTTGCTCTTGGCATCTTGGTCATCCGAACTGATCCTGGATTTGCTGCATTTCAATGGCTTGGTGAACAGATTCAGGTATGGGAAGCTGGGCTCTAGGTTCTATTCTGCCTCGGGATCCTGGAAAGAGAGGGTTTGGGAGAAGGGAGAAAGGGAAATTCAAATCCCCACTAGGAAGAGTTCTCAGGGAAAGAGATCCAAATATATAAGGAGATTGCAAATGAAGTATGAGTAAGGCTATTAGACAGACAAGAAGACAGGCAGAATCAAGATGGTTGTGTAAGAGCCAACATTTTTGCTTAGGTATCGCAACACATCCCCTCCACAACAGCCAAAAAAACACCCCAAGCAATTCTGATCAGGAAAGCTGAGATAGGGAGGATTTTTTCAGTACTTCCCTATGCCAAGGACAGAGTTCATTGGCAAACCTAGAAATGGCAGGACCAGTTAGGAGTCAGTGACATCTATTTTACTGCATGTGGATTGTTCTACCAAGGAGCTCAGAGCCTGATGCTTCACCGAAGGTCCTGAAAGTCTTCCCATGTGCAGAGGCTAGAAAGGAAAGCCCACTGTACTTGATAGATGGTCAGGTGACTTACAGCATCTGCATTCTGGCCAGAGAGATACACAGCATCAGACTGATGATCACTGGACACACCACTGAAAGGCAGCTTACCACATACTGGACTCTTTTTTAATGTTTTTTTAAAATTTATTTTGATTTATCAATAATCACTTCCATATGCTTTTGAGTTTTAAATTTTTCTCCCCTTCCTTCCTCACCTCCTTCCCCAAGACAGTGCACAATCTGATATAGACTATACATATGTATTTCTATTAAACATATTTTCACATTAGTGTTGCTGTAAGTAAGACTTAGAACCAATAGGAGGAACCTCCAGGAAGAGGAAACAAAACACAACAGAAGAGAAAAAATTGGTATGCTTCAATCTTCATTCAAACTACATAGTTCTTTCTTTGGATGTAGATAGCATTTTCCATCATGAGGCCTTTGGAGATGTCTCAGATCCTTGCATTGCTGAGAAGGGCTAAGTCTATCAATATTAGTCATTGCACAATGTGGCTGTTACTGTGTACAACGTTCTCCTGGTTCTGCTCACTTCACTCAGCATCAGACCATACAAGTCTTTCTAGGTTTTTCTAAAGTGTGCCTGCTTATCATTTCTTATAGTACAATAGTATTTCATTACATTCATATACCACAACTTTTCAGCCATTCCCCAATTGATGGGCATCCCCTCAATTTCCAATTCTTTGCCAGCACAAAAAGAGCTGCTATAAATATTTTTGTACATGTGGGTCCTTTTCCATTTGTATGATCTCTTTGGGATACAGCCCTAGAAGTACTATTGCTGGGTCAAAGGGTATGCACATTTTTATAGCCCTTTGGGCATAGTTCCAAATTGCTCTCCAAAATGGTTGGATCACTTCACAACTCCACCAACAATGTATTAGTGTTCCAGTTTTCCCACATCTTCTCCAACACTTATCATTTTCCTGTTTTGTCATGTTGGTCAATCTGATAGGTGTGAGGTGGTACCTCAGAGTTGTTTTGATTTGCATTTCTCTAATCAATAATGATTTAGAGCATTTTTTCATATGACTATATATGGCTTTAGAATAAGCAAAGGTATTGGAATAGGCAAAATAGGTATTAGAATAGGCAAAGAAGAAACAAAGCTATCACTCTTTTCAGATGATATGATGATATACTTAGAGAATCCTAGAGAAAAATGATTTGAAATAATAAAAAACTTTAGCGAAGTTGCAGGCTGTAAAATAAACCCACATAAATCATTGGCATTTCTATATATTACCTGCAAAACCCAACAGCAAGAGATAGAAAGAGAAATTCCATTTAAAGTTACTGTAGACATTATAAAATATTTAGGAGTCTCCCTACTGAAACAAACCCAGGAACTCTATGAACACAATTACAAAACACTTTTCACACAAATAAAGTCAGATCTAAATAACTGGAAAAACATCAGTTGCTCATGGGTGGGCCAAGCTAATATAATAAAAATGACAATTCTACCTAAGCTAATTCACTTATTCAGTGCCATACCAATCAAACTACCAAAAAATTATTTTAAAGAGATAGGAAAAATAATAACAAGATTCATTTAGAATAACAAAAGGTCCAGAATATCAAGGGAACTAATAAAAAGAAATGCAGGGGAAGGTGGCCTAGCCATTCCAGATCTTAAATTGTATTATAAAGCAGCCATCGTCAAAACTGCCTGGTACTGGCTAAGAAATAGAGTGGTGGATCAGTGGAATAGGTTAGGTACACAAGACACAGTAGTCAATGACTATAGTAATCTATTATTTGATAAACCCAAAGACCCCAGCTTCTGGGATAAGAACTCAATCTTTGACAAAAACTGCTGGGAAAACTGGAAAAGAGTATGGCAGAAACTAGGCATAGACCAAAATCTTACACCATATACCAAAATAAAATCAAAATGGGTTCATGATTTAGATATAAAGGCTGATACTGTAAGCAAACTGGGAGAGCAAGGAATAGTTTACCTATCAGATTTATGGAGAACAGAAGAATTCATGACCAGACAGGAGATAGAGAACATTACAAAATGCAAAATGGATAACTTTGATTACATTAAATTGAAAAGTTTTTGCACAAAGCCAATGCAACCAAGATTAGAAGAAAAGTAGAAAATTGGGAAAGAATTTTTACAACTAGTGTCTCTAATAAGGGCCTCATTTCTAAAATATATAGAGAATTAAGTCAAATTTATAATAATATAAGTAATTTCCCAATTGATAAAAGGATATGAACAGGCAGTTCTCACATACTGGATTCTTAACGGTCTCAAGTGTGACACCAGCACAAGGAAGTCCAACAGTGATGTGTTTGTATGTGTGTGCATACCACAAAAAGGGGGAGTATCAGCATTTTCACAGGCCTTGACTGGGCCTTGCTTTGAGTCACCGAAAGAGGACCTCCTAATTGTGTGGCCTATGAACCCAAGCACAGTTTAGTGATGAATACAATTGATCTTTTGCCCCATCGCTCTTCCTCATCTTTGCCTTGTTTTTCTTTCTCTTTAGATTTTCCTCAATTACACAGTGGCTGGTTCCAGTTTTGTCTTTGGGGATGCTCTCATCAAAGATGTTTTTGCCTTTCAGGTGACACCTCTCTTTGTGGGTGGAAATGGGGAGTAGGTGAATAGCAGCTGATCCAATGTGGGGGGGGGGGTGTGGTGCAATAATGACTTTTAACAACAGGCTTTAGTGATGGCCACATAAAAGCCCTCATAGTCATGAAAGTGAACTAATGAGCTGTCCTATGAAGTCAGGCTTGCAAAGGAGTAGGTCAATCTGGCAGTATGATCTTAATTGGATTTCAATAGATACAAGGATCTCAGGGATCTCAAGCCCTCATTGGCTAAGTTCTTACTCTGTGCCAAGAAATGTACAAAGTGCTGAAGTTACAAACAGGAAAATGAGACAGTCCTTGCTCTCCAGAATGTCCACTCTCTGATTGGGGAAGATAAGACATAAAACACAGTTGAGCTGCAGAAGTTTATAGCAGGGTGGATGACAAAGCTCAGTATCTTTAGGTCAGATGACAATGCCAGGGGACTACAGGGTGCAGAAGCAGAGCATAGGGTAAGGCCTGGGGGAGCTTGGAAGGCAAGGGCAGGGCAGATGGCAAGGGCTGGAGATCTTCCATGTCACTGGAAGAAATGGAATTGTTGACTTGCATCTCATTTAAATCTTGTATGAAGTCAAGCAGCAAGGGGGGATAGGGCCTGCATCCCATATGAATTTTGGGCTGAGGGATGGAGGGCTGGGGAAAGAGGAAGAGGAAAGACAAAACGGGAAATGGCACACTTAGGATTCTTTTGATGGCTATCACCTTCAGAAACTAGATTCACTTTCTGTGGGAAGTAAGATTCAAGTAAGTTTGGTTCTGTGGGAGGATAGACTCACCATTTCAGTTTCCTCCTAAATTAGCTTGTATTTCATAGTTATTAAGGATATGTACTGTGCTGGGCACTGTACTGGACCTTGTGCTCTCAGAGAGCTTCGGCCTGCTAAGGTGGCATGACATACTGTCATCGTATAATGTATCAATCAGCAAACATTTATTAATCAAATATTGTACCTATATTCCAGGCACTATACTAGGTGCTTAGATATAAAGACCAAAATGAAATAGTCTCTTCCCTCAAGGAGCTTACATTCTATCAGAGGAAACCAAATGAACATCTATAAGCACATAAAAATAAATAACAAAATAAAAACAAGTTAATGGTAGTGGGAATAGAGAGGCACTTATAACTCGGTGGAATCAGTAAAGGTTTCATTTAAAATGCTGCCCTTGACCTAAGCTTTGAGGGAAACTAGGCATTCAAAGAGATAGAGCTGAGTGCATTACAGGTATAGGTCAGCCTGTTCAAAGGCTCCGCAAGGGGTGGGAACCACAATTTCTCTAGTTAGACTAGACTGGACTGCAAGGCAGGTGAAGGGGAGTTATCTGTTTAACGGTGTAGGAATGAGATCTAAATGCCACATCTCCTCTCTTAAATGCCTCTTGCCATTCTCCTTCTAGGCCTTACCAATCATCGTCTTCTTCAGTTGTGTGATGTCTGTCCTCTATTACCTGGGACTCATGCAGTGGGTGATTGTGAAGGTGGGTCCTGCCCCGACTCAGGTCATGAGATAATCCATTCTTTATGATCTTTGGAATCCAAACAAGTGGAGTCTCAGGGCTGAAATGCTTTAGAAAGTACCCAAGTCTAAGGCACAATATAGCCAAACTAGAATTCAGTGTTATATCCCTCTAAGTAGCATTGGCACCAAATTGAGTAAATTAGGCTTCTCTATTTAATTAACTTTTTTTTTAAAGAAATGAATTATATTCAATTGGCTTTTTCTGTTGTTTAAAGCAACAAATACTTCCAACAAAGAATGTGACTGATTCATCTGATAGAACAAATCTCTCTTCCCTTCCCAAACACACACCCTCAATAATAGCTCACAATTATATGGCACTTGGGGCAGCTAGGTGGCACAGTGGACAGACCACCGGCTCTGAAGTCAGGACGAGCTGAGTTCAAATCTGGCCTCAGACCAAAAACTTGACACTAGCTGTGTGACCCTAGGCAAGACCCAATTGCCTAAAACAAACAAACAAACAAACAAAAGAACAATTATATGGCACTTAAAAGTTTTTGGAAGTGGTTTACATGGGTCATCTTTTTTGATTCTTATAACAACCTTTGACCTTTATGGGCCCTGATTTCCTCATCTGTGAAATGAGGGGGTATGACTATGATTTAATGTATCTTTTTTTCTTTCTAGATTGCCTGGATTTTGCAAATTACCCTGGGCACCACAGCCACAGAGACCTTGAGTGTGGCAGGGAACATCTTTGTGGGTATGGTAAGCAACATACAACCTCTTGGTCTCTTTGTAGTTCGGTTTGCTGTTCTTCAGCCAGATTCTTCACTTTCTTAGGGAGTATGGATAGATACTACCTTGGTCACTGACAGAGCTCCTTTTTATCCCAGGAATCTCAAAGCACTTCCTGGCTCAGGTATCATTTCTGTATCTTTGACCACAGGCTCAGAGGGATGGGTAATGGGAAGAGAGAAAAGGTTGGCTCCCGTATTGGTCTGCCAGTAATATAGTCAATCCTCAACTTTCACAGGGGCAACATTCCTAGAAAATGGTGTGAAAGTTAAAAACATGAATGACGACACATTGAACCTATGAGAAATAAGGGGTTCGGTTTCTGTGACCACCAAAAGCTATACTCTTCCTCTAGAGATTGCTGAAAATATACTTTTCTGCATACAATTCTTTACAATCAAATATTATTTCTGATAGTATATATTTTTCCTAACATAGTAACCATGAAATAACCCATAAAATGCAGTATACAAAATAAAATTGGTAACATGCAAAACAGGGACAGCTAAGTGGCGCAGTGGATACAGTGTTGGGCCTAGAGTCAGAAGGACCTGAGTTCAAATCTGATGTCAAACACTTACAAACTCTGAGACCCTGGACAACTCACTTAACTCTCTTTGCCTCAGTTTCCTTATCTATAAAATGAGCTAGAGAAGGAAATGGCAAACTACTCTAGTATTTTTGCCAAGAAAACCTCAAAAGGGGTCACAAAGAGATGATCAACAACAACAACAAAAAAAATCCAACAAAAAACATGCAAACATTTTTTCTTTTAATTCCCTAGAATTCTATGACCTTTTATGCCAATATCTCAATAAAAAATTGATTTCAGACAATACTCACTTTTTATAATGAATGAAATCTACAGTACGATAAATACTGTGCAGCAAATAAAATTCTAAAAACTAAAATATTTTTTAACTTGAATGTTACCTTCCACTGTGTCAGATGATGATATGAGGGCATTGTACTGTATACTATACTGTCAGCCTCTGAAAACCAAGGGAGAGGTTGATGGGACTTTAGTCACTGCTGTCAGAAGACAGAGGCCTCGACATCACCTCTGACACCTCGTCTTTTATGACTGGTGGATGGCGCTGGAGCTTGTGAAGGACTCACCAAGTTGAAATAATCCATCAGCTACATCTGCTTCATGAGTTCTTTGAGATCCTTAAGGATTGCAGAGTATAGGAGCATTGCAGAGCTGAGTTCACGTTTAACCCTGAAGCTGTAATCAATGTTGGGATTGGCAGCTTTGTTGTCTCTAGTCAGCTGGTCAATTACGCCAACCTATCATTTAAGCCTGGAAACTGTGAGTGACATAATCTTGGAAGCTCATTCATCATCATCATCTTTGCACTCCAGAAAACCTTCCTGAGTCATCTCATCTAAATCCTCATTGATCAGTTCCTGGGGTTTCTCCTGCAAGATGTCAGAGACGTCTTCTCCCATATCCTTGAACCCTTTGCCTCCAGAGGTGTGCACTAGACACATGATTGCTTCAGCATTCAACCTTACTGCTTCATCAACACCTTTAAACCCTTCAAGACCCTGGATATAAGCATGCCATATGTTTTTCCAGCAGTTATTCAAGGTGGCCTGTGAAATATTTTCTCAGGCTACAGTAATACAATCTATGACTTGAAGCACATGGACAGATTTCCAGAAATCCATCATGGTGTTTTCTGGGTTTGTTTCCAAGTAGTTGCAGGCATGGCAGTAGCTTTCCCCGGTATAATGGAACTTGAAGACTCTTATGGTTCTCTGATCCATAGGCTGGAACAAAGATGTGGTGTTAGGTGGCATCAAAACAACTTCTACATTTTTGTGGGCATTTTCCAGCTGCTCACAAATATGCACTGGTATGTTATCAAGATTAAAAGAACCTTGAATGGTTCTTTCTCCACAGATATCATTCTACCTCTGGAATGAAGCAGTTGTTGAATCAGTCCCAGAGGATCTCTGCAATCATCCAGACTTTCTATTCCAGTGCCAATGCACTGGCATTCTGGTCTTGTTTTTTCCTTTCAAAACCCGGGAATTTGGGACTCAGTAGATCATCAGTGGCTTCCACTTGAAGTTACTGCTGGCATTGATACACAACATAGGATCAAACAATTCTTAAAAACTTGAACCTGGGGGCTTTGGCGATGACTTTTGTTATGTGTGTGCACTTTCCTACCTGTTTCATAAACAGACCAGTCTCATCAGCATTAAACACTTCCTCTTTTTCTCAATCAGCGTGTTCAACATGTTCTGAAACTCGGCAGCAGCCATAGCATCAGCAGAACCAGCTTCACCAGAAAGTTTCACATTTTTTTAAACCATATCATAACTTAAACAATACATCCACCCCTCGCTGGCTTACAAAAGGCTTCACATTTTCTTCACCCATTGTAACATGCTTATAAATTTGTTGGGCCTTCAATGGGGTGGTTGCCATATTGGCCACACTTTTTAATTCTTTCACCATTTCATTTACTCACAAACTTAGCCACTTTTTCATTTTTTCAATTCCCTCATCACGCATTTGAGTGTTTATTTTATTTTAAAGGAAAAAAAATCACTCCATTTCCATGCTTTTAAGAATTTTTAATATAAATGGATGCTGTTTTAAAATGAAAGCCATTTTCTGCATCTTATAAAATAGAATTATAAAATTTCTCCATCGTTATTATAAAATAATATTATTTTAGTGTCTTTTCTTATCAATATGTTCTATTATACTGATGTATTCTTACAACCTTCCTGCCATGCTGCCTAAGCTCTGACTATTGTTCTCATCTCCTTCCATAACAACCTTGGATTTTGCCCTTGGGTTTTCTGGCTCTAATAGGTGAGCTTTTGCCTCATTTTACCAGGAAGCAAGCCTCTAAAATACTTCCTGGCTTTTTAAAAATCTGTTTTTTTTTAATCTTTTTATGATGGGTGTTCTAAGATAGCATCTAATCCTTTATAACAGATAAAAGCATTTAGTTTGATGATCTGTTTATTACAGAAGTTCTGCCCTTTGTTGTGAAATTCATTTCAAGATTTGGATGCTTTTTTTAAGCTTCAGGTCAAGAGTTCTTTGAGGTTGGACCTTTTCTCAGTGAATTGCTCAAAACAGGCCTTGATTTTTATATGTACATCTTTTGATTTTTAAAAAGAATGCTTAGCTTTGCTGGGAAATTGATTTTAGCATGAATTCTAATACTTTATAACTTTATAACATAGTACAGCTTAGTTTCTTCTATTATGTCTTATTTTTATAGAAAAAATCTTGTGAAATTTAAAATGGTATTTTTTGATATGTGATGACATTTTTCTTGATTGCTTGCAGGATTATCCTCTTATTGTAGTAGTTTTAAAGCTTGACAATGATATGCCAGAGTGAATTTAAATTGGGGTTTTTCCTTACTAACATCCTATGAATTTTATTTATTTTCAATCTTGACCTTGATTTCTACATTTCTGGAACATTTTCTTGTATAACTTCCTGAATCATAGTGATTACATTACTAATTCTATTTCTTCCCTAATTCCTTCAGTGTGCCTTTTATCTACTTATTGTGTCTTGAGAAAATTCTAGCTTTGCTTCTGATAATCCTGTCAATGTTATTTCAATATCTTTTTCTTCTGGTCTTTTTGCCTGTTTCTTTTAATTTATAATACAAGATGTCCCAGAAGTCTTAGAGAAGTTTTAAGCCTGCCTTAATTTTAAGAGACTTAACTTATAGGACACCCTGTATTTTGTCATTGTGTTAGAGCTTTTCTTTGGTTCATCAGTTTTTAGTGGATTTTTACATTTTATTTTGAAGATTCTGGTTGTTTTCTTTTTCTTGTGTTTCTATTGCTATTTTTAAGGGAAATGTTGATGACGTAGGCTTCCTTGTGACCTCTATCATATTTTTTTGTCAGCCCCTATGTCCCTATATCCGTGAATATAGCTGTTTAATTTTAGTTTCCATGCATTCTAAGGCCAGTTGTCTCAAGTACAACAAACACAGCATGTGGATTTTCAGAGGTTTTTTCCATGTTTATTTATTTGTTATTTATTTACAAACATTTATATTTATCCAAACTTTCTAATCCTTCATGACTAAGTCTTCTCTTCTTCTGTTCCTCCTTCTTTTTCTTTCACAAGGATTTAATGATGATCTACTATGTGCTTCATTCACATTCATTCACAGGAACTGTATTTTCTTCACCAAATGCCTAAAAAATGTCAGTACACAGTTGGTGTTCAATATATGTTTCTGATTGAATAACTGGATCATAGGAGTAGTGTCTCATCAAATGACATAGAGTTAAAAACAAGATAGACCTTGACTGTAGATTCTATACTTCATTCATTTATTCAACATCCAATGAACATTTATTAAATGCCTAGTATGTACTTAGATGTGGTATGCTCAGAAGGCACAAAATAAATATGAAAAATAGTCTCTTCATCTAGGAGCTTATAACTTAGCAGTATAGAAATAAATGTTTGTTGATTGATTGATCCTGTAGCACTTACTGCTGATGCTGATTCAGAGTCAGTTTCACTGAGGAGGGTTCTGAGTGTCCCCTAACAATCTAAGGCAGCATAAGATCATAGGTTCATAGAATCATAGATTTGGAGGTGGAAAAGACGTTAGGGGCTATCTGATGCAACCTCCTCATTTTACAGATGGAGAAACTGAAGTCTGAGGAGGTTAAATGCCTTGTCCCAGGTGACACAGATAGTAAATGGCAAAGATGGGATTTGAACCAAGGTTCAAACTCTTAGTCCAAATCCACTGCTCTTTTCACTATACCGTGCTGATTAAATGCCGCAATGAGTGAGACAGACACAGAGAGCTAGGAGATTGCTCAGAGAAGGGTAAAGTGATTCTTAGATCTGCATATGTCTCCATATTCCATCACCCTCCTGTGTTGCTTTTCTTCTCAGTGTAGTAAGCCAATGAACAAGAACCCAATGAATAATAAACCTATAAACAAGAGATTGTTCTCTTCCTGTCATCCCAAATACTGCCCTCTCAGTATACCATTGTTTCTATTTCTACGTCAGTGGGGATAATAATACTTGAAATACCTACCTCACAGGGTTGTTGGGGGGAAAGTGTTTTATAAACATTAAAGAGGTTCCTCCTTGGGGGAATATACTCCTGATTCTTAGGCTGTGTCTTGGGCACAATAATGAGGATGATGGTGTTTAGAGTCACTCATGTCTACAAGCCCAACTGACTTTTTCTTCTTTCCAGACAGAAGCACCTCTGCTGATTCGGCCATACCTGCCAGACATGACATCTTCAGAGATCCATGCTGTTATGACTGGAGGTTTTGCTACCATTTCAGGGACTGTGTTAGGAGCCTACATCACTTTTGGGGTGGGCATTGATCTCTTAGCCTCTGTGTAAACCAGAGTGTCATGCTCTCTTCCATAGAGGCAGTAGCCATTCCCCAGAGAAAGTCTTCAAGAAGCTTTTCTGGTTTTGGGCTCCCCCTGCTCTTTTCATTTATGGTGTAAGCCTGGGACCTGGGGAACTTCAGCTCAGGTGCTTCAAGGTCCTAAGACATTCCTGTATGAGAGTAATCAGCTACCAGGAAGTCAGGAATGAACACATGTTATAGTACAAGGAATTAAGACTTGAGTCTTAATGTGTTAGGAGAATTTTGGTTCTCTCCTAAGTAAAATAACCCAAATGAACATATAATCATGAACAAGAGATTGTCCTCTTGTCATCCCAAATACTACCCTCTCAGTATACCATTGTTTCTATTTCTAGGTCAATGGGGATAATAATGCTTTCAATACTTATCTCATAAGGTTGTTGGGAGGCAAGTGCTTCTCCAAACCTTAAAGAGCTTTATAAATGTGAGCTATTATTATTATTGTTTTGTGGTTGTTATCCTGCTAGGTTCCCTTCTGCCATGTTTCTTGGTTGTTTTCAGTTTATTTGTAGATAACAGAATGCCCTGGCACTCAGGGCAATCCTTGGCACCAATTGGCAAGCTGTCTCGGGTTCTGAACACATACTGACCTTGAGATCTGACCTTTCAGATTGATCCTGCATCCTTGGTTTCTGCTTCTGTGATGGCTGCTCCTTGTGCCCTTGCCCTGTCCAAGCTGGTCTACCCAGAAGTAGAAGAATCCAAGTTCAAGAATAAGGAAGGAGTAAAATTGCCCCGTGGGTGAGTCCAGTGGAATACATTACCTGGGAGATTGTGCGGTAAAGGCCACACACAGAGGCAGGAGAGAGCAGTAGAATCAGGTTCCATGTCTTGTCTAGCTGACGCACCATGGTAAGAAGAGTCTGCCCTCTCCTGACTCATCACAGTTCCCAAATAATCCTTGTTTCCTTTCCTAACATTGGCACGCCCTCTGGCCTGTTGTCTCTGTAGCTCAGCATCACAGAGTAGGTGCTTAATAAAATATTTGTTGATTGATTGATTGATTCTGTAACGTTTATTTTTGATACTGGTTCAGAGTCAGTTTCACTGAGGAGGGTTCTGAGTGCCCCATCCCCCATGGAGCTAGCTCTCTATCCCTTTCCCATTACAAGAACAGAGGAGACTCTTATCCCTAGCAGGGTAGAGGATGCGGAGCCACAAGAAAAATTCCAAGTTGGTCCCTCTGAGTGGGACCCTCCCCCCAACACACATACACACACACACACACAGTTGCCAACACTGGGACGACTACAGCCCCTCGTTCTTTTTTACCTGTTATCTTTGATGACAATCACAGAGATCAGAAGAACATTCTAGAAGCCGCCAGCAGCGGTGCTGCGGACTCTATAGGACTCATTGCTAACATTGCTGCCAATCTCATCGCCTTTTTGGCTGTGTTAGCCTTTATCAACGCTGTCCTTTCCTGGCTGGGGGAGATGGTGAACATAGAGGGACTCAGCTTCCAGGTAATGTATGTCACTTTGGCCCATCACAGTCCATTTCCCTCTGATGGGGTCAGGTTGGTACCAGTACTGTGCCTGTTCCCTTGATCCTATATAAGATACAGAGAAAACTAGAAGGATGGGAGAGACTGAGCCCTGGCTACAAGGGATAGATGTTCTTTCTTTCTTTTGGAGGCAGTTGGGGTTAAGTGACTCATCCAGAGTCACACAGCTAGTAAGTGTCTGAGGTCAGATTTCAACTCAGGTCCTCCTGACTCGAGGGCCAGTGCCCTATCCACTGTGCCACCTAGCTGCCCCTGGGATGCATGTTCTTACCTGGCCTTTGCCTGGAGAGACTCAAATTCTCATTTTCTCTCTCTCTGTCTCTCTCTCTCAGGTCATCTGTTCCTATGTCCTACGGCCCATTGTTTTCATGATGGGTGTGAACTGGGAAGACTGTCCAATGGTAGCTGAGATGCTGGGGACCAAGTTCTTCCTGAATGAGTTTGTGGCCTATGAACGGTTGTCTCAGTACAAGAACAAACGTCTCTCTGGGATTGAGGAGTGGGTCGGTGGTGAGAAACAGTGGATTTCTGTAAGTGGTCCATACAGAGAGATATGGAACGCTACAGGGTCTCAGCCAAGGCTACCCATGTGCAGAAGGGAGCTGCCATGGAAAATGCTGGGGCAGGTTCCAGGCCCTACTTGCAGGTTCCTAGGACGAGCCCAGCGAGGCAAACCCAGTAGCAGCCTTCTGTCTTAGGCCCTTGAACTTCCTTGAGGTCTGTATTGTTTCTCCTTCATCTTTTATCGTTTTTTCTCTTCAGTCTAGCTCTGGATCTTGATAGAGTGGTTGACTGTTGAGAGGGATAATTTTCTGGTGTTCTGATAGTCTCATTCTTCACTTAGAGTCTTAAATTAACTCTTTGCATTTCCTTGATGTGTAACTTCATGATCTGTCTCTCTCTCAAAATATCTTTAGTATATGTGTATATGTATATATGTATTGTTAACATTTATGTAGCACCTACTATGTGCCAGGTACTATGCTTTACAAATGTTATCTCATTTGATCCTCATGACAAGTTAGGTACTGTTAATATCCTCATTTTACAAATGAGGAAACTAAGGCAAGCAGAGGTTAAGTGACTTGCCCAGGGTCACACAACTAGTAAGTGTCTGAGGCTGGATTTGAACTCAAGTCTTCCTGACTCCAGCTCTACTACTCTATCCACTAGGCCATAAACACACACATATGTGTCTGTATATATGTGTATAGGCAGCTTATATATACCATATATACACACACAATATATGTGTACATACATATAGACATACATAGCTAGATGTCCTGCGTCTGTGTTGGTATGCACACAAAAATTATACACACACACACACACACACACATATATGTGTTTATATATATGTGTGTGTGTGTGTATACATATACACACACTTATACATGTGTCTAAAGTTTTTTTCTTCCAGGTGAGAGCAGAAATCATCACAACTTTTTCACTGTGTGGATTTGCTAATCTCAGTTCGATGGGGATCACATTAGGAGGCTTAAGTGAGTTATAGGAAATCCTTATGTCTCTTGAAAGCTATAACCAAGGCCTCAGCAAGACACTGAAAGCCTTGTAATTTGCAGCCCTGATACCACAAAGTCAGGTGCACCTAGGCAGAGAAATTGTAGCTAGGATAGACCCACCCAACTGGAAATACCAGAGCAGCAGTTAATTAAGTGGAGAGAAAAATGGGCTGGGGAGATTAGTGTTTATCCTCGGAGATGTCAAACATGGAGTCACAAGTCACATGCAACCTGAACCAGATTAAAATGTAACTGGGAAATATTTAACAAAATAAATAAAATGCCATAAAATATAGTTAATACTATATTTTAAAAACAAGTCAATATGCTGCTTGCAGAAACCCTTGTATAAGGATTAATAGCCCCCGTGTCTATTTGAGTTTGACTCCTTTGGTCTAGATTCACCATCATGTGGTGGATGAGATGCTTTTAAATTAAAAGAGATTCACCACCCCTCCCCAATTCCCCCTTCCCCCATTCTTGAGTAACCATTTTCCTTTAGATAGATTAGGTCTAAGATAGATCCGCCTTATAATGAATTCTGATCTATGATGAAAAGTATTATAGTGACATTTATATCTTTGACACTTAATGAGTAAAATGCTAATTGCATGCAAATTTGCATGCTTTATTTGTGATCTGACAGCTGAAGTGCTTTCTGTGTTTAGATTGCAGCCTTGGCTACCCCTATCTGAGCACAAATTCACAGAGAATCTGTGTCAAAGGCACATAGGAGGAAAACTGCCTATCCATTTTTACCTCATTTATTTTCAGGGACAAAATCATTAACTTTATTGATTTGGCTGCTTATTGAGTTGTGTTCATTAGAGATTTTTGCATCATTTCTTTTCAATGCACCTTCTCCCCACCCCCCTGCTGTTCAGTACGCCTCTGCATTGCACTAATTCTGAAAGCTAGTTATTGATGAAATGTGAGAAAGCCTCTGAGAGGAAGACAAATACATTATGGCTAGGACTGAATGAATGGGGCCTTATTCCTGTCTCTCCAGAGGTTAATCTGACTCTGGCCAAGCCTTGGAAATTCTGACTGGGAAAGGTCCAGGGAATTTGCTCCAATCTGGAGCAATTCCAAATCATCTTTGATCCATAGAACCCTTGGGATGTTGGAACAATTAAGGTACTATTGCTAAGACTTGGTCTTGGTATAGGCTGGTCCTGGAATTAATTCAGCCAGCCAATCTTGCCTTAAAACTTTTGCATTGGATACATCTCACATTCCTGGAGGTCTCCAGACCAGTAATCACTTAGAGCAGATACATAGCAACTCATGGAACCAGGCTGGGCTACTTTTATATCTGGCCTCTTAATGGTGAGGGTGGTAGGTTTTGAAGCATATGTTTTATTCTTCTGAATTATTGTCAGTGAGGGCTCACAGTAAGTTGGATTTTCTGGAATGCTAAATTCCAGTACTAAGTTCCTTTCCTCTCTCATTACCTGCAGCTTCGATGGCACCCACACGGAAGAGTGACTTTGCCAAGCTGGTAACAAGGGCCCTCTTGACAGGGGCCTGTGTATCCCTGGTCAATGCCTGTGTGGCAGGTAGGTGCCTCTGTCAACTGTCCTCATGGCTACTTATTGGTTTGGAACAGGACATATCCAAGAATAGTGATTGATTCTATCTAATTATCCAAACATCTAGGTAGAGAGAAGGTAACCCAATCCTATAGGATAAAGGAAAATCCAAGGGTTCTGAATTTACATTCCAAAGGACAGAGAAACCTCAGGAATGGGTTTAGGGCCTGCTTCATGTCTGATATTTTTATCTCCATCCAGGAATCCTCTATGTCCCCAGGGGGGCTGAGGCCAACTGTGCCTCTTTCCTGAACACAACAAATTTCACCAGTCCTAGTTATGAGATCTACGTGTGCTGCAGAGAATTCTTCCAGAGGTGAGGACCTTGTGATTCCTGGCTCCTTCTGCATCCCCTCAAAGGAGTCTCTTTATGGCAGAGGAATTGGTCAGGGGTCAGGTACTAACCTAAGGGGGAGGTACTAACCATGGAAACAATTTATATTATCTGAGTGCTAAATGTACCATGTGAAATGGAAAGGTTAGAAACTGTTCTTACATAGTAAGGGAATGTAGGAAGGAATTGGTTGCAGTTGTGGATAGGTAGATAAAAGGGAAAGGATGGCAGAGCCTGACTTTTTGGTCATGAGTGGTAAAGGTGAGGGGAAGAGGGACATCATGGTTGAAGATTATAAAGTCAAGTTCACCCACCTCTCCTCCCACAAAAAAGGGGGATATTTCAAGAAGGAGGTAGTTTTAGGATGCATAAAAGTATTATATTAAATTTATGTAATTCATTCGTCTCAAGGAGTAGTAAGACTGAAAATACATGAAAATAGGTTAGGTTTTAAAGGTGAGATCTATACCAAGATATTAATGGAAGTTAGTCCTTGAGAACCATGATGGGTTTTCACCAAAATGCCTTCTACAATTGTCAAAGGCAGACTTCTAAGCGAGATAGACTGCTAGCGTTAGATATTATCACAGTTTGTTATGGTAATCCAGGAAAAGCAGAATTTCTTAACCTGGGCTCTGTGAACTTCTATTTTTAAAAATATTTTTATAATGATTTCAATGTAATTGGTTTCCTTTGTATTCCTATGTATTGAATTTTATGCATTTAAAAATATTATTCCAAGAAAGGGAATAGGTTTCCAAGGCCGCTACAGTGTTACAATGTCCATGACACAACTAAGATTACGAATCCCCATGTTGTAAAGATCACTCCAAAAGTAAAAATAGGTAGGTGGCTTTGTTTTGAGCTAAACTATGTTCTCGCTGATGAACACCACCCAAATGAAGTGTTTTTCCCCTGTCCTTTTTTTGCTCACCTAAGCCTGTGTTGACGTTGTACCTAGAGCCCCCGTCCTGGGAGCGATTTGGAACTAGGACAAGGCAGGATTCCTGCCTTACTGATTTACGCTACTCCTGGAGCCTGATCTTCCTTCCTTTGTGACCCAAGGGGAAAGAGGGTTGTTGTGTCCAATGAGCTATTAGATATAGGATGCCAGAGAAAACAGGACAAGTAACTGATGGGCCCAGAATCCCATTTTTCAAAGATTTATTAGCCAGCTAAGAACTTTAAACTAGGAAGCTTCATCAGCCCTGTCAAAGACATATGCAAAACACAGATGTATACCCAGGAATACTCATAGACCCTCATCCATCTCTGAATACATTCCCTTTCAGTGGGGACTAAGCACCTGCAAGCATCGTGGAGAAAGGTTTTCTTTTCAAGGAAATCATTTTGTGAAGGTTCTATTTCCTTGGATTGTTATGAAGTTAAAAAGGGTTCACCAAACCTCTGCAGGGCAAAGTTCTTTTTGTGCTTGTTCATTTGTTTGTTTTCCCCAGTGGATGTGGCTGATACTTTTGGTCTCTACTTAGCTCTGTATATCTTCTTTGCTTACTGTCCCAGTACCCAGGACCTAGGTTCAAATTTTGGGTCTGTCATTTACTACCTCTGTGAACAAAAAAGGGATGTACAGGTATTCAGGAAGACTAGTGGTGCAAGGAGTAAAAGCAGTGACTTGCTTAAGCTCTCCCCCAAACCCCTCCAAATACCTGTAAAAAAAGGCTCTAAACAAATTCTAAAGCAGCAGAAGCCACAAAAAGACAGAGTGAAACAAATTTACAGCCCAAGACAGCCTGGGTGGTTGATTGGAAAGGTATATTGTGCCAGGCAGGGAGAGAAGCACAGTTTGGTGTGGGAGTGCAGGCAAAGACCAGGCCTCAGTGAACCTGGAGCAGGCCTCAGAGGACTGAATCACAGGCAGCTGTGGCAGTTTCCAGACTTCTCAACCCAGGAACGACACAGACAACTTAGAAGGTCAGCGGAATAAGTCTGTGACCACAGTGAGAGAGAAGGTTGGTCCCAGCCCCAGTCCCTGGCTCAGCTGCAGGGCGACAGCTGCTTCCTGAGCTTCTGGTCCACAGACTGAGAGGGAATTGGGTGGCTGACCAGAGGGGGATTGCAGGATTCTCTTTGCAAGTGCTGAGGCAGGAATCTCTTGCTTTGCCCGTACTTGGATCTGGGTCACAGTTCTGGATGTTGATCCTGAGGAGAAGAGGAGTGCTGGCGTGGTAGAGCTTGTAGTGGTGATAGCGAGGAAATCCTCCTCATAGTTCCAAGACAGAAAAGAGTGCTTGTGGTCACTCATCAACAAGAGCACAGGCCAGGAAAGGAGTAAAACCTCGCCCTTGATCCTACCACCTTGGAAGAACTGAAGACTTACAGGTCCCTAGAAGTGTCTGTGAAAACAGCTGCACAAAACCCCCAAAGCTTGGGACAGTACATTCTCCACACTGGAAGCAGACCCCTACCTTAACAAAGAGTTTAAAACTCAAGAAATTGACTGGGATCATGAGCAAACAAAGGTGCAAAAAAAGTCCGTCCATAGAATCTTTCCTTGGTGACAAAGAAGATCAAAACGTACAACCAGAAGAAGACAACAAAGTCAAAGCTCCTACATCCAAAGCCTCCAAGAAAAATATGAATCAGTCCCAGGCCATGGAAGAGCTCAAAAAGGAGTTTGAGAAGCAAGTAAGAGAAGTAGAGGGAAAACTGGGAAGAGAAATGAGAGTGATGCAAGAAAATCATGAAAAACAAGTCAACAGCTTGCTAAAGGAGACCCAAAAAAATACTAAAGAAAGTAACACCTTAAAAAATAGCCTAACCTGAATGGCGAAAGAGGTCCAAAAAGCCAATGAGGAGAAGAATGCCTTAAAAAGCAAAATTGGCCAAATGGAAAAGGAAGTCCAAAATCTCACTGAAGAAAATACTTCCTTAAAAATTAGAATAGAACAATTGGAAGCTAGTGACTTTATGAGAAATCAAGACACTGTAAAACCAATTCAAAAGAATGAAAAAATAGAAAACAATGTGAAATATTTCATTGGAAAAAACTGACCTGGAAAATAGATCCAGGAGAGAGAATTTTAAAATTATTGGACTATCCAAAAGCCATGATCAAAAAAGGAGCCTAGACATCATCTTTCAAGAAATTTTCAAGGAAAACTGCCCTGATATTCTAGAACCAGAGGGTAAAATAGAAATGGAAAGAATCCACTAATCACCTCCTGAAAGAGATCCCCAAAGGAAAACTCCTAGGAATATTGTAGCCAAATTCCAGAGTTCCCAGGTCAAGGAGAAAATATTGCAAGCAACCAGAAAGAAACAATTCAAATATTGTGGAAACACAATCAGGGTAGCACAAGATTTAGCAGCTTCTATGTTAAGGGACTGCAAGGCATGGAATATAATATTCTGGAGGGCAAAGGAGATAGGATTACAGCCAAGGATCATCTACCCATCAAAACTGAGTATGATCCTTCAGGGGGAAAAATGGACATTAAGTGAAATAGAAGACTTTCAAGCATTCTTGATGAAAAGATCAGAGCTGAATAGAAATTTTGACTTTCAAATATAAGACTCAAGTGAAACATGAAGAGTTAAACAGGAAAGAGAAATCATAAGAGATATATTAAGGTTGAAATGTTTACATTCCTCCATGGAAAGATGATATTTGTAACTCATGAGACGGTAGTTGGAGGGAAAAAATTATATGTATGTAGATAGATAGATAGATAGATAGATAGATAGATAGATAGATAGATAGATAGATAGATAGATAGATAGATAGAGGGCACAGAGTGAGTTGAAGATGAAGGGGTGATATCTGGAGAATAAAATTAAGGGGTGAGAGAGGATTATACTGGGAGAAGAAGAAAGGGAGAGGTAGAATGGGGTAAATTATCTCACATAAAACAGACAAGAAAAGGCTTTTACAGTGGAGGGGAAATGGGGGAAGGTGAGAGGGAATGAGTGAATCTTATTCTCATAGGATTTGGCTTAAGGAGGGAATAACATACACACTCAATTGGGTATGGAAAGCTATCTTTCCCTACAGGAAAATAGTGGGGGAAGGGGACAAGAGAGCAGGGGGATGATAGGGGGAGGAAGGGGGTAATCAGAAGCAAACACTTCTGAGGAGGTACAGGGTCAAAAGAGAGAATAGAATAAATGGGGATGGGGGCGGGATAGGTTTAAGGGAAATATGATTTTTTACAACATGACTACTATGGAAGTGTTTTGCATAACTACACATGTATAACCTATAAAAAAAGAAAGAAAGAAATCTCTCCTGCCCTACAAGAAAATAGAAGAGGAAGAGGATAAGAGAAGGGTGGGGGAAGATAGAAGGGAGGGCAGATTAGGGGAAAAAGTATTCAGAATACACGCTGTCTTGGAGTTGGGGGAGGGACAAGATGAGAAGAAAATTTGGAACTCATAATCTTATGGAAGTGAATGTTGAAAACTAAAAATAAATAAATTAATAGATATTAAAAAAAAAAAAGACTAGTGGTATGAGGGCTGTTGAGTCCTTTTCAAGATTGTTTTCCACCTTTGGTGTCTACCTATTACCCAATTCTCACCTGTGGCTCCAAGACGCTATTGCATGTGCAGCAGTCACACCCTGCCTGGTAAAACTATCTAGGCAGAGGGACTAAACTATGTTGAGGGAAGCTGATGGGCCTTAAATCCATCAATGAGTTAGAGGGGTATCTACCCCAAGCATGTGAAGACTTCTCTAGCCAATGGGTGGATAAGAACAATTTGTTCCAAAGAGCCATGAAGTGGCAGAAGCAGGCACTGTGGAGTGCTTAGAGCTTGGTTGGACATAGAAGATGTCAAGGTCATCCATCCTAGGCCATCACCAGTCATCTTGACTTTTGTCTTGCCACTAAACTTTGATGACTCTGGAAGAAAGTGAGACTGATAATTTCATGTAATTCTGCCTCACTTAAATCCAATTTATGCATGAGTCAAAAGATATCACCTATACCATTTTACCATTTTTACCTGCTTTGAAGTCTTGT